TTATTAACAGGATGTCGAACATACTTAATTCCATCTAATAACATTAAATTTGCTTTCACTGCTCCATAAAATATTAGACCGTTCACAGTTTATACCGTTTCGCAAACACAAGTATTAACTTCTTATTCTTTGCAGATATGAGAGGCTTCTTTGTTGATCGTCGGTCATGTAATCCATTAGATATTAGAGGTCGTTTGACAATTGAAACATGAAGATCCGTCATAATTTTCTTTCAGTTTTTATTGATACTGCCAACTTACGAATATCTCCAACGGATAGTCTTTTTATTATGCGATTAATCATAGGAATGATTTTTTTCGGATGACCACTTCGGGACTTACTTTCGACAGTCTTCCATACACTAAACACTTTATTCCATATACTAACAAGAGATATCTTAAAAATACGTGCCGAGATATCTTAAAAATACGTGCAACTTCTGCTTGTGTCTTTCCTTCCTTTAGCGCAGTTATAACTGATAACTTCTTAAAATCATTGAAATATTCTTCATGCTTCGGCATGTTAGGAGAACCATAATAAATCGAATATAAACACAAATCAAATAATATCACAATCAACGCTTTAAATCACTCGAAACTAAATGATTTGTTAAAATACTTTTGAGGTGAAGATATGAAATATTGGTCCTTCGTAACCTATTATAAACAAACAAGTTGAGATTTGTTGTTTACATATGACAACAATCACACTACACTCAATAATAGTCAAAACATTTTCTTAAATAATATTATGTTAGGCGTAATAATACAAAATTTCTTTTTGTCAAAATATTTTTGAGCGCTACTGTTGATATATAAAAAATAACAGTTAGTTGATGTTTAAAATAGCCGGTTAACAATATATTAAGTAAGCAAAGAATATTTGCATAAACTCCAAATTATTAATGTCGTAACAATGTGTTTAACGTAAAAAATAAATTTTGCATGCATTAGCAAGATGTTCATTTTTCAAAAATTTCACGAAATATATGCATACTCGATGTGTGTACTACACAGCTTGTAACAGTATTAATTATTTCTTCTTATGACATACATTGGAACTAAAATAAAGCTTATAGTTTCGATACAGAATCTGGATTCTACAGAATCAATACAGATTCTACAAAAGATGAGTGCTTGAGAAAAAAATGACTTCGCGATTAATCAACTAGGATTAAGATAAAATCAGATATCAGTCGGATAACTGCTGTTGTCTTTATTACTCTGTAGTCATGTTGATTCGATAAAACTCTCCAAAAGAGTCGTTACTGAACTGTCTTTTTTAAGTATCTTATTTAAGTAACGGAAGTAATTAAACTGTGCAATAATAAATTGCAATAGAGTGCAATAAACCAGAAATCTTTAATAATTCTCGATGAGTGCAAACGTTTCTGAAACGTTTCGTGAACGTTTCTTGTAACTGAAACCTTCGATTAAAGCATGACCTTACAATTACACAATAACGTGCTTCTGGAATGAAATCGTGCCAACCTTCGTCAACTATTATTAACTACCAAGCCGCAGATTCTTCGACGGGCAATGTAGTGTAATAAGCACTAAATAACTCGTGTTGACGATGACTGACATAGAAGCAGTGTGACAATCATTTTGGCTTCGTTAAGTATAGATCGCTTACTACATCGTTGAATTGGATACTATCTTATCTCATAATATGCGGAAAGTACATGCTTGAAACTGTCGGAGGCTTATCGATAATTCTCTACCTCATAATTTATTAACTGTCACTTCGACATTGATTCCTCAAGAAGATAACAAATGCACTGGTGCGCTTTGTTTCCGCCGCGTATATATATGTGTTTGTATTCGATTTAATTTCTGTAATCAAAACTCGCGCGCGATCCTTACTTCCAACGACAATGGTGATTACGGCCAAGTGCTAGTAAATAATGTCACGTAGTAATTATAAATACAAAATACCACAATAATGACGAAATCAAATTTATGCGTGTGTCATTAAGTTCAGGCGCGATACGTGTTGTACGAAATTATTGGCACTTGTAGATGGTTTATATGTACATATTTCTCTCCTCTTAAAATGCTAGAATATTGACAAAAACCGTATATTACATGTAAAAGAAAACTCTATATTTAGGATTTTTACATAAATCTGCCAATATCACTTTACACTCAAATAGCCAAATCTGCGCAAATAGATTTTGAACAGAGCTTGCTACAAATTTTTAATGGCAGAAAGGCAGCAAATCTAATACAAGATACATTATATCTGCTTATATTATCAGAATGCCATCAGAAATGTGACAAAGTCTACTGACAGGTAATCCGAACAGATTGGCGGCAGAAACCGAGCAGAGTCTGGAACGATTTGATAACAGATTAGCAGCAAAAACTGAGCAGACTCTATTGTGCAACAGAATCTGCGCGATTTTTGTTGCTAATTTGCTCATATTGCCTGTCATAAAATTGACACCAAAGTACGAGCTAAATACGGACACAGATGACTTTGGTTTTGATATGGAATTCAAATTTGCTACTAATCTACGCGCATTCTGCTATCAATTTGTTTACTGAGTACATATGCTAAAAGAATCATTTATACTTGCACGAAATGCATACTGCTCGAGATTGTTGGAATTTGGAAGATCGATCGCGAAATTTTCCTCTACGATGAAATACATACGCGTAAATAGAAATAATTACGCGTAAATTTTATCAAAATCGTAACTTATGGCATTTAATTTATTTACGTTTTAAATCGTTACGATTTTTATAACATGTAAGATAGAAATACTAATACCTGGACATAATTCTAGGAATTTTCATATATTGTTTTAGTTTTTAAATAAGAATATTTAAACTTTTAATGTAAAGTATACATATATATGTTAAAAGTATACATATATTCTATGTTGAAAATTTCATATGTAAATATATAAATATTCATATGTAAAACTAAAACAATAAGAGTGTCCATGTTTAAGTACATGTCTAAGCATTGGTACTTTTACTTTAATAAATACACTTTTTATAAACAACCTCTATAAAATAACAGAATTACGGTTGAATAAATTAATTAAATAAAATGACAATATCTAATTTAAAATATTTTTAATTAAAAATTATTCCCTCGCGCAGAAAATTATGACAAGTCAGTGACTCGTTGTTTTCACATTTAAACATATGCGTCAGACTTGTTTTGATTTATCAATAAGTTAAGGCTAAATGAATGTTTATCCCACTGAATATATTTTATGCCAATATATTTATGGGGAGGTTTTATCGCTTAATATTTATTGTTTGATATTAGTAAAAAAATTTATAATTATGGCTTTGATAGTCGAAATCGCATAACGCGCGGTAATGACAATTCACGAATACGCTTAGTTCTTTACAGAAGTAAAAGTGAACGTTCACCGTTTGTGTGAACCTTACCAGTTTATTATGCAAAAACATAAAGGAAAAACGACCTTGACCAAGACGTGACACGAGCATCAATTTCCGGAAGCTAATTGTTACGTGGTCACACCTATTCAAGGTTTGATATGATGATGAGAGGGTAGAGAGAGAGAGAGAGAGAGAGAGAGAGAGAGAGAGAGAGAGAGAGAAAGAGAGAGAAATACAGAGAGAGAAGGAAGCTCGATTACACGGATAACAGATGACATCATTAAGTGCTGATTCCTGGATTTTCCTGATTTTCTGATTTTATTTTATACTTTTTGCTTCCTTAATGGACGCATTTATTGGGAATAATAGACAATTCTATTGATTTCACATTAACAGTATCATTCATTCGAGATTCACTAGAAGAGAAAGATGAATTATTGACAGTCCATGCGTGTTTGCCACCTACCGATTACGTGAATGTCAGGAAGTGCGTGAACGAACGAGTTGCAATTAATGTCAAGGCATTCCCGCCGCACGATAAGACGAACGTGAAAGTTCGCTTAAGGCTGCAGCATAATTAAGATTTTCTAATAATATTACGACGTCAAGCATATGTAAAATAGTAACGATGATGGCTCAAAGACAAATCAATCACATTATTGTATTATCATTTCCAGTGTTACACATAATCAAATTAACAATAAAATTTGAAATTTTATGTACCACGCATTTGGTCATGATTGATTAGCATATATATTACGTATATTTTCACTTAGTTCAATAACAAATGAAATTTTTATCATATCATCCTTTAAAATAGTTGAAAACTCGTTATGAATAAATATATCTGAAATGTTTAATGCACCAGATTCTAAATTAAATGTGCAATTGATTTAATATTTATTATTCCATTATGTAGACAATGGAAATATATTCTAATACATAGGTAATATATCTCAATATATTCTAATATCCTAACACATAAACAATATAACAAATATATATGGATATAACATATATGGATATTATATATAGATATATGGACATACAAATATTCATTATACACTATTCTATTTCTAGAAAGTCTTTTTTATATAATAATACTATACTTGAGAAATTAGAAAGCATACAAGTTATATTACAAACTATTCTTGTTTTGTGCGTGAAAAAAACTTGTTCCTAAAAATTTAAAAAAATATATATTTTTCTCTTTTTCTCGTGTTAATTTAATTGTTTATATCGTGGAATCTAGTTCATCGAGATCGTTTTAATCGTATCATCCACTTGATAGATTGCGGAATTCTCGATATTTAATAGTCAGTCAGTTTGTGTCCTAGATATCGAAATCGCAAAATTTCAAATCGTGTGTAATCGTACTTAAACATATAAACATTTTTTCCCCACAAAATTCCAGTTTGACGGTATTCAACGGTCACTAATTTATTGTATAATAAATCACACAACGACGTTACAAAAACTTACTGCGTTTAATAAAATCAATAATCAACAAAGTTCTTGACTCGCATTGCACACGATAATGAATAAGTAGATCAATCAAATATGCACATTTACTCAATGAGAATAAGGATAATAGAGGCAATAAGCACAAGTTCGATATCAAGATATATCGATACTTACAGCATGTTTTCCATGTAGAAATCATCCTTGAGGATTTACTAAAATCGAGATACTGCAGATAATATTTATTCGCTTTTCTTTTTGAAAAAAAAGAAATTGAAAAAATTCAAAAAAGAAATTGAAAATATTTGTCGTGCAGATTATTTTTTTCAACTTTGAAAATATCCCAGAATATTTTAAGTTGCTTGCACTTTCGACAATTATCGAATAAAATCACTGTGTCGCGGCGAATACGGATCTAATAGATTTCCTTCTTCTCAATCGAGACGCACACACATGTCACGAGCGACTGAATCGACACCCTCGATAAATACGCCTTATATCTACATGTGCTTCTCGTATTTATCCAGGGTGGGGAACGTAGACAGGTAAGAGTTGGTGGGCGATAATGCGGATCGCGTAAATGTATTTTAACGAAATACTAGGAAACACGTATCACTGATTTCTTTACTAGTTATTGGATTTCTTAGATTGATAGATAACGCACGTCAAAAGATGGCGGTAACATTACAATTGTATTTGCGAACTGAAGAACTATGTTATCGAATTCCTTCGTTCGTGAGGAAACATTTTGCAGTATTTCGAAATGAATCAAGCGACGCGGTCGCGGCGCAACACCGAGTATGTATCAAACAAAAAACGCGACCGTGTAGCTTATCTTGAATTTCTGGGTCGATTGGTCTTTCGAGTCAAATATCTCAAGTACGAAAACTATAATCGAAAATCTGATGACTGACTCAATTGTCTGATGACAATTAGCGCACGCGTAATTTTCACTAAGTTTGATTAAGATTGGTGCAAGCAATACAAAGATCTCGAAATCTCGCCCGCAAAAAGGTCCTTTTATTTTCATCAAGATTTTTTAGATTTAGATCAGTCACACGTACGCACGCACACAAGCGAATGAGTTTGTCATCAAGCCGCATTTGCATCACCAAGCGATTCAGCTTCATATCACACATATACGTACGCATACAAGCGATGCGCGTTTGTCCGTCAGATTGTAATATATAGGTACGATTGTAATATATAGGTTGCAATAAGCAGCATATATCTATAATGATTGTCACCGATTCATAAATTTACGCTAGATGAAAAGATTCATAAATATAATAATTAAATATACAAACATATTAAATATACAAATATATCAAGCTGTATTTACAATTTCACGTATATTTCCTTAGTTTTATATCAATCTGCGCTTGTGACGTCCGCGATTCGCATTGCAAACGTGTAATCTGAATCTGAAATTAATTGGGGAGAAAGAAAAGATTTTCATAGATGAAATATTAGAAAAATTTTTGTATAGATTGTACCAATCAGAATGGACGTATATTACGTATATTACCTTATAGAAATATCATACTAAGAATCATTGATAATTACTTATTTTCAGTAATTATCAATGATAATAAAATACTGGATAATAAGTAAATATCATACTAAGAATCATTGATAATTACTTATTATCCAGTATTTTATTATCATTGATAATTACTGAAAATAAGTAATTATCAATGATTCTTAGTATGATATTTCTATAAGGGCGTGCATAATAAACATTAAATTGATCATGTATCTTTTCGTTTAGCGTAAACTCCTAAATAAAATAAAACAATTTTATCGATAAATTTAATAAAGTTCTATGATTACGATTGTGTTCAGATATTCATTACTAATACTGAAGATCTATAGTTTGTATCACGTATACTATAGAGTTTCAGTACTGGCAGTGAATGGAATGCAGCCTGCGAGTTCATATTAGAGAAAAAGATATATCACTACACGGGAAAAATTTTATAGTGAAATGTGCTACAAATATAGAGATCTGATCAAATCATATTCTATTACTTTAATTGCCAGAAAACCTTGAAAAATCATATACTTTACGAATTAAGGGGACCAGTAGATTTGAAATGTAAAAAAAATCGATTTTTTGTTTTTTATATAACCGGTTAGTATAATCTTTTAAGAACATTTTGGTGCAAGACGGACTTCGATATTCCCAAAATTGAGTTCAAGAGAGCCAAAAATATGTAAGGCCGGCAGAGCGTCTGCTATTAAACAGCGGCGTGCTTTTGTGCTACCGCTATCTAAAACAGATAGAATTTGTTTAAAATAAATATAGCCAATATGCAATTTCCTATTATTACTTTAAAGTATATAATAAACTCTATTTAGCTATAATCTTGTTCTTAATCTTTAAACACATTTTTTTCAAAATAGCATTTTACGCTAGTTTTCCCATGATAATTCATGAACAGCTAAAGATATTAAGTTGCTTTTTTTTAATAAAAGATAAAGGCGTATTACATAAATTGTATGAATCTATTTTTGCATATAAAAATTAATTTTCTTTATAAAAAATAAAAATTATTGTTTTTAAATTTCGTTTTAATAACAAATATCTTGAATTTTTCGACTATTTTTGGTTTTCTGTCCATCATTGCTCTTTTGACGTTTGACGTTTTTTTAAATTTAGGTTTAATCTATAGAAGGAGATTCCAACTACAAAATGAGGCCTTCAGAATTAAAAAATTCCAACTCATTCTCTCGAATCACGACAAAACAGAAAAATTGAAGTTCTTTTAAATTAACAATATCTCATTCAATTATTAATATTTTTTTATTACTAATGCTTATTTTATTCCTAGAGATACATTAAATAACTTGCACCAAACCAACTTTATGTATGTTGATTCATTTGTTCTCAACTATCGTTCGAATATTACCGAATTTTTAGCCGTTGAAACCCTGCATAGTCCCCTTAAAGATATATCTAAGATACAATCGGTGACAAAAGTGCTTGAAAAACGAAAAATTTGAATATCTGCTTCAAATATGTTGTAAACCTAATGATAAGTGATATAAATATTGGTTAACATAATATATTTTTTATTTAAAAAGTTACTTTTTACTTTCTCAATAGTTTATTATTTTTATTTGCTTTTTTCAACTTTTTATAATAAAACTTTTGGCAGGAAAAATATTCTGAATTCAACTTTAGAAAATCAAATTTTATATTTATTTAACATCAATATCCATCAGTGCAAAGGAAAAAAAATAATTGGGATAAGTTAAAACAAGTAAATATGCATTGTCTAAATTATCAATATTATTTGTTGTTATTAAATATTTAATGAAAAAATTTAAACGTAGCAACAACGTATCATGTAGTTTGTGGCTTGTACGTTGGCAGTAATGCACTGTGCAGGCAGGTTAGATGAAACAATAAAAGCCTCAAATTTCACACTTATCCTATTGTTCATCGAAATTATTTAATTTGTATTGTTGTCCTCTGCATGAAATAATGCAGACAAAACAAAAATTTACGATGTAACTTTATTACTGATTTATAGATTATTTGTTTGACACACCAGTTGATTGCAACGTTGTCGCATTTCTACAGTCCAGCTACTAACTCCTTACAATCGCAAAATTGTCACAAATAAAAATTAATTTCTCTGAAACCGTGTTGTGAAAACTAATCAAATAGTTCCGATTCAGGATCTATTGGGAGTGTGCGTTAATTTTAAGGGGTTTTTTTGTAAAAATATGGCTTTATTGTGAAAAAATGGTTACAAATTGATCATTCAAAATATTGGCTGCGTTTAGCAGAGAAAGCTGCTTTGCAACTGTTATAAAATTCGTGAATCTGATTGGTATATGCTCTTGGATTTAACTAAAATTAAGAACATACTCCAATCAGATTCACGAATTTTACCACAGTTGCAAAGCAGCTTTCTCTGCTGAGCGCAGCCATTGTCCACCGCAAGCCACTACTTTTACCCATCTTTCTGGTAATAGGTGGATTCCACGTCGAAAGAACGACACATTTTTCGAGGCTATCCACGAATCGACCCATTTTTTGGTATCCTCATAAGAATGGAAGCGTTGCTCAGACAGGCCATGTGTCATCGATCGAAATAGGCGGAAGGAGCAATATCTGGAGAATATGGTGGGCGTGGTAGAGCATCCCAGTTAAGCGCTTTTAACGTTTCTTTGACCGGTTTCGCAACATGTGGCCGAGCGTTGTCGTGTTGGAAAATCACTTTGTCGTGTCTTTTCGCGTAATCTGGCTGTTTTTTGCTTCAATGCTCGGCTCAGTTGCATCAATTGTTATTGGTAGCGTTCCCTAGTGATAGTTTCGTTGGGTTGGAGCAGCTTATAATACACTACACTCAGTTGATCCTACCAAATACAGAGCATGAGCTTGGCGCCATGAATATTCGGCTTTGCCATCGATGTTAATGGTTCGCTTGGCCTGCACCATTTTTTGCGCTTCAGATTATCGTAGCGTATCCATTTTTCATCACCCGTCACGATACGATGCAAAAAACTTTTTCTTCTGTGTTTTTGAAGTACCAATTCACAGGTCATTTTGAGCCTTTCATGGTTCCTCGGTTTCAACTCGTACGGCACCCAATTTCCTTGCTTTTGAATAATTCCAATGGCCTTTAAACGTCTGGAAATCGTTGATAGATCAATTTAATGATTCTGCAAGTTCTTCTTGCGTTTGACTCGGGTCTTGATCGAGTAAAGTTTCCACTTCCTCATCTTCAAACTTTTTCAGCTGGCCTGGACGTTCCTTGTTTTCTGTGTCAAAATTACCTTTTTTCGTTGAAACCAGTACTCACATGTTGAAATCGATGGAGTATAATCACCATAAGCTTCCGGCAGCATTCGTTGACTTTCAGCAGCATTTTTTTCAAATGGAAGAAAAAAGCAAAGCTTTCCGCAAATTGCGTTTTGTTGGCACAAAATTCGATATATTCAATGCTTAAAATAACAATGTTATTTACACTTCAGCAAAATGACACATACTGAAAACTAAAGCCAAATGATGGTGCTTTGACATGAAGGTAGCAACAATATGGCCCGATGCGATATAGTACTAGTTACGCTATTTCTTGAAAATCTTTTAAAATTAATGCACACTCCTAATATGTGTATAAAAATACTTAAATTTTTGGTATTATTTTTTCTATACGTTTTTACTCATTACATTCAGGAAAATTGCTTTTGCCATAAGAATACGTCTAAAATTAACATAATAATTACTCTTCAACGAGTGAAATTTTTTTCAGTATATTATAGATAATTAAGGAAAAATTACCTAAAGTTTTATCAAATTATGTACTATTTTTATATAGCTCAGATACATCCTTAACTCTTTGTGTCACGAATTTTTCCTTACACACGATTCACTTAAAACTTGTTACACGGAGGTTTTTGGGGTCGCTGATTACGAATCTCAAAATTTTGAAATTCAAAATGGCGGATTCAATATGGTG